TAGTAATATAGTTTCACCTCTTTGGGAACAGCAGCTCCCATGAAGTGCGTGTTGTTTATTTACATCTATGTTGCTCTTGTCCTCTTGCAGGCAATCTTTGAAGCCCTTTACTAAAGAGAAATGATTGAATTCTCGTAAGCCTATGAGGCACTGTTTAGCTCTGTGTTGTAGCTGGGAAAACTGAGGCACAGAGAAAACAGGAAAGTTGGGGGGCGGGGCAAAAAAAAAGAAAAGAAAACAGGAAAGTGCCTAAGAATAACAGCTTTTTAAACAACGGGGCAGCGATTCAAAACCAGAGAGCTGGGTTCCAAAGGCTGAGCTCGTAACTACCATACCGTGCTCGGCCCTCAGGTAAGCCTCTCCCTCTCTTTTGCCACATTTGAGTTTGCACTCCAGGACATCATGTACACAAGTACCCTAACTTTTTTGAGGGGGGGGGAATGGAGTCTTACTCTGTTGCCAGGCTGGAGTGCAGTGGCATGATCTCAGCTCACTGCAACCTCCGCCTCCTGGGTTCAAACGATTCTCCTGTCTCAGCCCCCGAGCAGCTGTGATTCCAGGCACGCACCACCACACCTAGCTAATTTTTGTATTTTAAGTAGAGACAGGTAACGTTTAACCATTGCCTAACATTTTTATAGGGACAATGCTCTTTCATATTGTTGGTAGTTACAGATAAAAATGAAGCCTGATGGCCGGGTGTGGTGGCTCACTCCTGTAATCTCAGCCCTTTGGAAGGCTAATGTGGGCAGATCCCTTGAGGTCAGGAGTTCGAGACCAGTCTGGCCAATATGGAGAAACCCCGTCTCTACTAAAAATACAAAAATCAGATGGGAGTGGTGACGCATGCCTGTAATCCCAGCTACCCAGGAGGCTGAGGCAGGAGAATCGCTTGAATAGAAGAGGTGGAGGCTGCGGTGAGCTGAGGTCACGCCATTGCACTAAAGCCTGGGTGACAAGAGTGAAACTCCATCACACACACACAGAAAGGGCTGGATTTGGTGGCTCACGCCTCAATCCCAACACTTTGGGAGGCCGAGGCAGGTGACTCAGGAGGTCAGGAGTTTAAGAACAGCCTGGCCAACATTGTGAAATCCCATCTCTACTAAACGTACAAAAATTAGCCAGATGTGACAAGTGCCTGGAATCCCTGCTAATCTCAGCTATTTGGGAGGCTGAGGCAGAAAATTTCTTGAACCCAGGAGGTGGAGCGTGCAGTGAGCCAAGATCGTGCCACTGCACTCCAGCCTGGTGACAGAGGGAGACTCCATCTCAAAGAAAAAAAAAAAAAAAGAAAAAGAAATATATATTTCTTTGAGACGGGGTTTCACCAAATTGGTCAGGTTGGTCTCAAACTCCTGACCTTGTGATCCACCTGCCCTAGACTCCCAAAGTGCTGGGATTACAGGCGTGAGCCACCGCGCCCAGCTTTTTTTTTTTTTTTTTTTTTTCTTTCGGAAAAAGAAAAAATTTTAAGCAGGGTAAGTGACTTGATCCTTTTCATTTTAGAAAGAACTTTCTGGCAGACAGATTTGAGGGGTTCACAGGAAACAGGTAGATGAGTGAAGAGGCCAGTGTAATGGTCTATACGTACTTAGATTTATGCAACTGACCACCAAAAGTACATGTGAAGTTGTCCTTGTCAATCCCTCTTGAAACTCGAGATACAATAAGAAACTTTCCATACTGACTTGTATCTTGCTTGTTTCGGCATGGATGGCCCATCTCTCCTTGGAATAGGACACCTTTAGGACTCCAAATATAACTGTAAGAAGGCATTTTGCAGGTATATCTTCTTTTTCCATTATAATTTAAGATTAATAACATGGAAGCGGCAGGTCTTATAGAGGGCATCCAGATAACTGGATAATAAAAAATTGAGAGGCTATACAAATAGATCATGGAATATAATAAATATTTATAGTACCCATGAGTGAAAGGGAAAAGCACATAAAGAACCATCAGTGAAATGAGAGGTGATTCTAGAGTTTTTTCTTTGGGGATAAGGATGCTATTTTTCAAAAGGGAGGCTGGGTTCTGGCAATGTAATCTGGAGTATTTTCTTTTTGAAACTCATGTAACAAGTAGTTCAAGAATGTTATTATTGGCCGGGCGCGGTGGCTCATGCCTATAATCCCAGCACTTTGGGAGGCTGAGGCGGGCGGATCACGAGGTCAAGAGATCAAGACCATCCTGGTCAACAAGGTGAAAACCTCTGTCTACTAAAAATACAAAAATTAGCTGTGCATGGTGGCACATGCCTGTAGTCCCAGCTACTCGGGAGGCTGAGGCAGGAAAATTGCTTGAACCCAGGAGGCGGAGGTTGTGGTGAGCCGAGCGCCATTGCACTCCAGCCTGGGTAACAAGAAAGAAACTCCACCTCAAAAAAAAAAAGAAAAAAAAAAAAGAAAAAAGAATGTTATTATCTATCTATCTATCTATATTTCTTTTTTTTTTTTTGGAGATGAGTCTCACTTTGTCACCAGGCTGGAGTGTAGTGGGATGATCTTGGCTCACTGTAACCTCCACCTCCCAGGTTCAAGCGATTCTTCTGCCTCTCGAGTAACTGGTACTACAGGTGCCTGCCACCATGCCTAGCTAATTTTTGTATTTTTGGGAGAGACAGGGTTTCACCATGTTGGCCAGGCTGGTTACGAACTCCTGACCTCATGATCCACCCGCCTCGGCCTCCCAAAGTGCTAGGATTACAGGCATGAGCCACTGCACCTGGCCTAAGAATATTATTTGAGGACAGGTATGAGGTGGCCTCTCAATCAGAGATACTTGTTCCTGTGTTATTGACCATTCATCCCTAAGGTGGTATTGATCTTAGTCAAGTTTTCTTTTTTTGAGACAGAGTCTTGCTCTGTCACCCAGGCTGGGGTGCAGTGGCTCTATCTCCGCTCACTGCAACCTTCTGGGTTCAATTGATTCTCCTGCTTCAGTCTCCCAAGTTGAGTAGCTGGGATTACAGGCACGTCCCACCACACCCAGCTAATTTTTGTGTCTTTAGCAGAGACCAGGTTTCACCATGTTGGCCTGGCTGGTCTCGAACTCCTGACCACAGGTAATCCACCCACCTCCGCCTTCCGCAGTGCTGGGATTACAGGTGTGAGCCACAGCACCTGGCCTACCTTAGTACGGTTGGTAATAGTTAACTAGCCAGCAGGAAGGAGAGGTGAAGAAGTGAAGATCAAACATACTTCCTTTAGTGACACACCCCACAAGTTGTACATGCTGCTCTGCTCACACCTCATTAGCCAGCGCTTAGTCACATAGCCAAGAGAGACTGGAAAATCTCGTCTGTTACTGGAAGAGTGGAAAACATATATTGAGGCTGGGCTGAGCAGTGGCTCACATCCATAATCCCAGCACTTTTGGAGGACAAGGCAGGAAAATCCCTTGAGCCCACGAGTTAGAGCCTAGCCTGGGCAACATAGGGAGCCCTCTTTTATATTAAAAATTTTGATGAATGTGGGGGCTTATGCCTGTAGTTCTCGCTGCTCAGAAGGCTGAAGCTGGAGGATTGCTTCAGTCCAGAAGCTCAAGGCTACAGTGAGCACTGATTGTGCTATTGCACTCCAGCCTAGGTGATAGAGCGAGCCCTTGTCAAACACACACACACACACGAGCGTGCACACGCACTCAGAAGAAAAGAAGGCCAAGAGCTACGGCTCATGCCTGTAATCCCAACACTTTGGGAGGCTGAGGTGGGTGGATTACCTGAGGTCAGGAGTTCGAGAACAGTCTGCCCAACATGGTGAAATCCTGACTCTACTAAAAATTAGCCGGGCGTGGTGGTGCATGCCTGTAATCCCAGCTACTTAGGAGGCTGAGGAAGGAGAATCACTTGAACCCGGGAGGTGGAGGTTGCAGTGACCTGAGATGACGCCATGGCATTCCAGCCTGGTTGACACAGTAAGACTTCGTCTCCAAAAATAAAAAATAAAACAAAGGCCGGGCGCGGTGGCTCACGCCTATAATCCCAGCACTTTGGGAGGCCGAGACGGGTGGATCACAAGGTCAAGAGATCGAGACCATCCTGGTCAACATGGTGAACCCCGTCCCTACTAAAAACACAAAAAATTAGCTGGGCATGGTGGTGCGTGCCTGTAATCCCAGCTACTCAGGAGGCTGAGGCAGGAGAATTGCCTGAACCCAGGAGGCGGAGGTTGCGGTGAGCTGAGATCGCGCCATTGCACTCCAGCCTGGGTAACAAGAGCGAAACTCCATCTCAAAAAATAAAATAAAAGAAAACAAAGAAAGAAAAGAAAAAGAAATTAGACATTGGGAACAGACAGACAGCATTCTCACCCACGGAGCTCTGGGTTAAATGAGGCTACATATACGGAGCTTAATGCCTATTGAGAAAAAAGACGTTAAATAAATAATTATACAAATTATAGCTGTATATACAGTTACTATAGTTATAAGCACAGGTGCCATTAGGGTCCCTAACAGAGGAGTTGAACCTAATCTGCTGGAGTGATGGGAATGGGAGTGAGGGTCCGTGGAATACTTTTCTTTTTCTTTCTTTCTTTTTTTTTTAAGAATGTTAAGTAAACAGATTTTATTCAATCTTTCCTAGAGTTTATAATAAATACATGTTATTTAATATGATAGTTACATTACAGTTTTTTTTTTTTTTTTTTTGAGACGGATTTTTGCTCTTGTTACCCAGGCTGGAGTGCAATGGCCCGATCTCGGCTCACCACAACCTCCGCCTCCTGGCTTCAGGCAATTCTCCCGCCTCAGCCTCCTGAGTAGCTGGGATTACAGGCGTGCACCACCATGCCCAGCTAATTTTTTGTATTTTTAGTAGAGACGGGGTTTCACCTTGTTGACCAGGGTGGTCTCAATCTCTTGACCTCGTGATCCACCTGCCTCGGCTTCCCAAAGTGCTGGGATTATAGGTGTGAGCCACCGCGCCCGGCCCTCCACTGACTCATTTTACAAATTCAAGTTAGCAAGTAGAATGTGTTATCTTGATGTTTCTGCATTTATACCACCTGAAGAGGGTCCCTGTCAGTCTCTGATAAGATAATTTTTACCTTATTCTCCAAGTGAGAGCCCAGCATGTCTCGAAGGTCAGAAAGAAAGCCTCGTTCAGTGTTGCTATGTTCACAGAGGATGACATTTATTCCTCGGGAAGCAGCATCCAAAATATCATGATGGGACATCTCACCTGTGAAGTAAAGGTCAGCCTCTACACCCTGCAGAACGCTGCTCCCAGAACCAGCACACAGGGCCACAACTTTGATCTGGGACTCTAAGGTTCTCCCACCCCAAGGGTAAGCGAATGTAAGATAGTTTTAGGTGCCTTTTGATTCGATCAATCATGTTGCCAGGGAGACAGATTCATCCAGTGTGCATAACCGTCCCATTCCAGTATGTTGAAGCAAAGCCTTCTCTAGTGACAGAATTTCTGTCTTTTGATAAAGTTGTTTGTTCTGGGAAAGGAAATCTCCCACCTGCATCAAAGCCTTCTGAGTACAATTCAAACTAATCCGTGTTTGTTCCTCATCATCAATCCTAGCAGAAAAAGAAGTGACAGAAACATCTTCAGTTCCTTTCACTGTAGACATGACTTTATCCAGGTCTTGGCTGCGATTAATGCTGAATTCTACTGGGCGGTTTCCCTCTGTAGGGTAGCTGGGAGCTTGGAAGGATGTAGGGACCTGGAGGTACAATCTCCAAGCCCTTTAGCCAACCAGTTGTTGACTCCCTGGGGTGCGGCATCATAGGCTGTGTGAGGAGAGTAGGCAGCCACTCTGTTCTCCAGAGCCCAGATCACCAGGTGCTCCTCCCAGGTGTCCCAGGTTATGCGTTTCATGGGTCGGAAGATAGGTGGATGGTAGGAGAGAATGAGGTCTGCCTTCTTCTGCAGCACCTCCTCCATCACGTCCTCAGTCAGGTCATTCGTCAGGAAGAGGGGATTTACAGTATGTGGTGGGCTTGGTTCCACCAGGAATCCAACATTGTCCCAACTCTCAGCAAAGGAGAGGGATGCAAAGTCACTCAAGGAAGAAAGGAGAGCCTTCACATCCACGAAGGAATGGGAAGAAATGCAGATCAGGGCATCTATAAACCGGACAGTCCTGGAATACTTTTCTGCGGAAAGAATATCAAGACGAAGACCTGAAGGAAGATGAAGAATGAGCCAGGAGAAGGGCATCTTTTGCAGAGGGAATCAGAAGGGACCATGTTACATTCTAGAGACTCAGAAAGAAAGGGTGGAGAAGGAAGGGCTCCCGTGAGACCAGAAGTAGCTGGTGGGGAAAAAAGAGTGACTGGAGCGGAGTGTGGAAAATAAATTCCCTGAGGAGTTAACGATGCAGTTTGCCTGATAAAAAGATCATCCACCTGCAAAGTAGGGAAGTATGGGCTGAGACAAGACCGGAAGCAGAGCGATCAGGTGGCAGTAAAGCACGTGGGGATGGGAAGATCTTGTACGTCTGAAAAGATCTTTATTCTGCCATCGTAAGTAAATGCTGCTCAGACTTGATTCAAAATTTTAGACTTCAGCCAGGTACAGTGGGCACAGCTGTAGTCCCAGCTACTCGGTAGGGATCACTTAAGCCCAGAAGTGTGAGGCCAGTCTGAGCAACGCAACAAGACTATCTCCAAAAATAAAAAAGAAAAGAAAAAAATTAGACTTCAAATCATGACACATTTGGTCTCAGAATACTGAAGACATTGCTTAACTATCTTCTTCTTTTTTTTTTTTTGAGACAGAGTTTTGCTCTTGTTGCCCAGGCTGGAGTGCAATGGCGCAATCTCGTCTCACTGCAACCTCCGCCCCCTGGATTCAAGTGATTCTCCTGCCTCAGCCTCCCAAGTAGCTGATAGTATAGGCGCGCACCACCTCGCCCAGCTAATTTTTGTATTTTTAGTAGAGATGGGTTTCACCACATTGGCCAGGGTGGTTTTGAACTCCTGACGTTAGGTGATCCACCCACCTCAGCCTCCCAAAGTGCTGGGATTACAGGTGTGAGCCACCATGCCCAGCCTGCTTAACTAACTTCTAATAATCAATGTTGCCAATGTAAATCTGATTCCAGTCAAATCCTTGTTCCTTTGTAGACTGTGTTTAGAATTTTGTTTTTTTTCTGAGAATCTTGAAATTCAACCAGCATTTCTGTGGTTAAAAAAATTTTTTTTGGCCAGGCGCAGTGGCTCACGTCTGTAATCCCAGCACTTTGGAAGACTGAGGTGAGCAGATCACCTGAGGTCAAGAGTCTGAGACCGGCCTGAGCAAATGGAGAAACCTCATCTCTACTAAAAATACAAAAAATTAGCTGGGCATGGTGGTGCGTGCCTGTAATCCCAGCTACTTGGGAGGCTGAGGCAGGAGAATCACTTGAACCTGGGAGATGGAGGTTGTGCTCAGCCAAGATGGTGCCATTACACTCTGGACTGAGCAACAGAAAAAGACTCCATTTCAAACAACAAAAAAAATTTTTTTAAATTTGTTCTGCTTGGTCTGCAGCCAGTGGTACTTGGAGTGTGCAGCTCCTTGACTTTCTTCAACTCTGGGGAACTGTACTTTTCTTCTAAAAAATTCCATATTCTTTATTTCTGTTTCCTCTTTCTAGAGCTGCTGATGAAACTTTTTAATTATCTGAATATTCAGCTGTTCTATAATGCTTGATATTGCTAATCAAGTAATCTTTTCTGGCTAAGAAACATTACTTTGGACATTTTAGTTAACTAATTTGATCTCCAACTGAGTCCACTCTATATTTATCCCGCCTATTGAATTTCACAGACAGTTTTTTTTTCATTTGCAAGATGAGAGTTTTCTTTTATTTATCTGAGACAGAGTCTGTGTCTCCCCGATCGAGGGCAGGGGTGCTATCTTTGCTCAGTGCAACCTCTATCTTCTGGATTCAAGTGATTCTCCTGCCTCAGCCGCCCAAGTAGCTGGGACTACAGGCACCTGCCATCGTCCGGCTAATTTTTGTCTTTTTAGTAGAGATGGGGTTTCATCATGTTGGCCAGGCTGGTCTCAAACTCCTGGCCTCAGGTGATCTGCCCTCCTCAGCCTCCCAAAGTGCTAGGATTACAGGTGTGAGCCATGGCGCCCGGCCCAACTTTGTAAGAATATGATCTGACTATATATTTGTGGATCTATTTCTAGACTTTCAATCTGGATTCATTAAGTCCATAGGCCCATCTTTACACCAGTCTTTTTTTTTTTTTGAGATGGAGTTTTGTTTTGTCACCCAGGCTGGAGTGCAGTGAGTGATGTGATCTCTGCTCACTGCAACTTCCGCCTCCCAGGTTCAAGTGATTCTCCTGCCTCAGCCTCTTGAGTAGCTGGGATTACAGGCATATGCCACCATGCCTGGCTAATTTTGTATGCTTAGCAGAGAGGCGTTTCACCATGTTGGCTCGGCTGGTCTCGAACTCCTGACCTCAATTGATCCGCCCACCTCAGCCTCCCAAAGTGCTGAGATTACTACTTTTGCTTTGTAGTAGGTCCTGAAACAAGTTGGTATGAGTCCTCTTAATTTTTTCTTTCGAAATGACTATTTTCTGGTGATTCTTGATCTTTAGCATTTTAATATAAATTTAAAAATCAGCTTGTCAATTTATGCAAAAACATCTTCTCAGGTTTTGATGGAGATTGCATTAAATTGGTCGGGTGCTGTGGCTCATGCCTGTAATCTCAGCTCTTAGGGAGGGAGAGGCAGGAGGATAGCTTGAGCTCAGGAGTTTGAGACCTGCCTGGGCAATATAATGAGATATAATTTCTGTTCTCCACAAAAAGGAAAAAAAAAAATTTTTTTTTAATAATAAAAGTGAGATTGCATTAAATCCCTAAGTATCTTGGGGAGAATTAATATCATAACAGTATTTAATCTTGCAAGCCATGAGCATGGCGTACCTCTCTGTTTATTTAGGATTTCTCTAATCTCTTTTCAGCAACGTTTTACAGTTTTCAGTATATAGGTCTTACAAATACTTCTAAGCATTTTATGTGTGTTGGTGATATTTGAAATGGTTTTATTTACTTTTCATTTTCCAATCACTTGCGCTAGTATGTATGAATACATGTGAATTTAGTATATCAACCTGTATTTTGCTACTATGCCAAATTAACTTACCAGCTCTTTTTTTTTTTTTTTGAGACGGAGTTTCGCTCTTGTTACCCAGGCTGGAGTGCAATGGCTCGATCTCCGCTCACCGCAACCTCCGCCTCCTGGGTTCAGGCAATTCTCCCGCCTCAGCCTCCTGAGTAGCTGGGATTACAGGCACGCGCCACTGTGCCCAGCTAATTTTTTGTATTTTTAGTAGAGACGGGGTTTCACCATGTTGACCAGGATGGTCTCGATCTCTTGACGTCATGATCCACCCGCCTCGGCCTCCCAAAGTGCTGGGATTACAGGCGTGAGCCATCAAGTCCAGCCTAGTTCTATTAATTTTAAAAAATATTCCTTCAGATTTTCTAAATACCTGATTAGGTCATCTGCAAATAGGCAGTTTTACCTAATTCTTTTCAAGTTACATGCTTTTTTACTTTATTTACCTTATTTTATTACCAAGCTAGATCCCCTAGCACATTGTTGACTAGAAATTGTAAGAATTGTCATCTTAGCCTTTTTTCAAACTTGGAGAGCACAATAAATCTTTTATCATTAAGTTTAACGTTATCTGAGGGCTGTCTTATCAAATTTAAGAAGTTACTTTCCCTCTCCAGTTTCCTGAATTATCATTTTAAAATCGTGAATAGGTATTGTATTTTGTCAATTCTTATTTTACAGCTATTGATACGATCATGGTTTTCCTCCTGTGTTCTGCCAACTGATTTTCAATTTTTAAATATTTTATTCATTGTATAAACGTCACTTGTATTTCTTTGCAATTTTGAAATGCACTTCTTTTTTATTTTTTTTTTCCGGAGTCTCACTCTGTCGCTGCCCAGGCTGGAGTGCAGTGGCACAATCACCGCTCACTGTGACTTCCGCCTCCTGGGTTTAAGTGATTCACTATGTTGGTCAGGCTGGTCTCGAACTCCTGACCTCGTGATGCGCTCACCTCGGTCTCCCAAAGTGCTGGGATTACAGGCATGAGCACGGCACCTGACTTATTTTCTCTTTTAAGTTTTTTTAAAAAAATTTTTTTTATTGCATTTTAGGTTTTGGGGTACATGTGCAGAACATGCAAGACAGTTGCGTAGGTACACACATGGCAGTGTGCTTTGCTTCTCCCCTTCACCCACATTTGGCATCTCTCCCCAGGCTATCCCTCCCCACCTCCCCCTCCCACTGGCCCTCCCCTTTTCCCCCCAATAGACCCCAGTGTGTAGTACTCCCCTTTCTGTGTCCATGTGTTCTCATTTCATCACCCACCTATGAGTGAGAATATGCGGTGTTTCATTTTCTGTTCTTGTGTCAGTTTGCTGAGAATGATGTTCTCCAGATTCATCCATGTCCCTACAAACGACACATCTTTTAAGTTTTATTTCATCTTTTTTTAGATTCATAAGATAGAATCTTAAATGACTGTTTTAGAACTTCACTTTTTAATGTACTTAAAGCTATACATTTCTCCTTTGTCATTAATTTTACTTACGTATTTATTTATTTATTTATTTATTTTTATTTTATTATTTTTTTTTAAAGACAGGGTTTCACCATGTTGGTCAGGCTGATCTTGAACTCCCTACCTCAGGTGATCTGCCCACCTTGGCCTCCAAAGAGCTTGGATTACAGGCGTGAGCCACCACACCCACCCTTATTTATTTTTGTTTTTTGTAGAGATGCGGTTACCCAGGCTGGTCTGAAACTCTGGGCCTTAAGCAATCCTCCCACTTCAACCTCCCAAAGTTCTGGGATCACAGGCATGAGCTACCGCACCTGGCTCCCACACATTGATTTAGCTACATCCTAAAGAGTTTGACATACTATGCTTTTATTATAATTCAGTTTAAATACCTTTCTCTATTCCTTCCCAATTTCTTCTTTGACCCCTAAGTTGTTTGGAAACATGTTATTTAATTTCCAAAACTTTGAGAATATCTCACATATCTATTTGTTGTCATTTTATAGTTTAATTTCATTGTGGTCAGAGAACATGCTCTGTGGGATTTTGTTCTTTTAACATTTATTGAGATGTGGCCCAGATAGGCTCTTTTGTGGTGAACATACCATAAACCTTTATAAAGAATGACTCTTTGGCCGGGCGCGGTGGCTCACGCCTGTAATCCCAGCACTTTGGGAGGCTGAGGCGGGTGGATCACCAGGTCAAGAGATCGAGACCATCCTGGTCAATGTGGTGATACCCCGTCTCTACTAAAAATACAAAAATTTGCTGGGCATGGTGGTGCGCGCCTGTGGTCCCAGCTGCTTGGGAGGCTGAGGCAGGAGAATTGCCTGAACCCAGGAGGCGGAGGTTGCGGTGAGCCGAGATCACGCCATTGCACTCCAGCCTGGGTAACAAGAGCGAAACTCTGTCTCAAAAAAAAAAAAAGAATGACTGTTCGGCAGTTTTTGAGTATAACGTTTAACTTTGTCGTGGTGATTAGTTTTGTTGTCAAGTCTCCTCTGTCTCTAGTACAAACTGCCGGCTTACCTTGCTGGTCTGGGTCAACAGCCAGGCAGGCTGCTGCCCTACCTCCTCTACCCCTGGTCCTCCTTCAGTTTCTCTGACTCTTGGTCAACTGTGTGTTTAGGTCCCTGACAAAGGGTGGTAACTTCTTTTGCAGAAAACTCTTCATTAACTTTGGAGGTGGGGAGCGACGGGTCTAACTGCTAGTTCATCCAGATTATAATTGTGGGTTCTAATTAGTCCTTACTCCCCACACCCCAGTATTTTTTTTCCAATGCCTTTCCTGCAGACTTCAAATTCAAGTGCCAGACACAAAGACAATAGACTTAGCAGGATTATTTAGCTAGCTGCCCATATTACTTAACGTTTTTTCCCAGGCTGGGTGTGGTGTCTCACACCTGTAATCCAAGTACTCTGGAGGCCAAGGCGGATGGATCACCTGAGGTCAGGAGTTCAAGACCAGCCTGACCAACATGGTGAAACCCCGTCTTAAAAAAAAAAAAAAAAAGGTTTTTTTCCCGAAAATAAAGTGTAAGCTTTAAAATCTGTATGAGTTATCTATTGCTGTGTAACAAATTACATCAAAACTTAGTGTGTGAAAACAATAGACTTTTTTTTTTGAGATGGAGTCTCCTTCTGTGACCTAGGCTGGAGTGCAGTGGCTTGATCTTCGCTCACTGCAACCTCCGCCTCCTGGGTTCAATCAATTCTCCTGCCTCGGCCCTGAGTAGCTGGGACTACAGGCATGTGCCATGATGCCCAGCTAATTTTTTTTTTTTTTTTTTGTATTTTTAGTAGAGACAAGGTTTCACCATGTATGTTGGCCAGGCTGATCTCGAACTCTTGACTTCAGGTGATCCACCCACTTCAGCCTCCCAAAGTACTGGTATTACAGGAGTAAGCCATACAGCTTAGCCAATTTTTTTTTTTTTTTGAGATGGAATTTCGCTCTTGTTAACCCAGGCTGGAGTGCAATGGGGCGATCTCAGCTCACCGAAACCTCTGCCTCCTGGGTTCAAGCAATTCTTCTGCCTCAGCCTCCCGAGTAGCTGGGACTACAGGCGTGCTTCACCATGCCCCGCTAATTTTTGTATTTTTAGTAGAGACGGGGTTTCACCATGTTGACCAGGATGGTCTCGATCTCTTGACCTTGTGACCACCCGCCTCGGCCTCCCAAAGTGTTGGGATTATAGGCGTGAGCCACCACGCCTGGCCTTTTTTTTTTTTAAAGATGGAATCTCGCTCTGTTGCCCAGGATCGAGTACATTGGTACAATCACAGCGCCCTGCTGCCTTGAACTCCTAGGCTCCAGTGATCCTCATACCTCAGCTTCCTGGGTAGCCATGTCTGGCTAATTTAAAAAATTTTTGGAGAGATGGGGTCTTGCATCTTTCCCAGTCTGATCTCAAACTCCTGGGCTGAAGCAATCCTCCTGCCTCAGCCTTTCAATCTGCTGGGATTACAGGCATGAGCCGCTGTGCCCAGCCACACAGACATTTTTTAAAAATCACACTTTCTATGGGATCAGGAAATTGCAAGTGGCTTAACTGAGTATTTCTGCCTTGGGGCTTATGGTGAGGGTGTAGTCAGGATTGCAGTCGTCTGAAGGCTTTATTGCTGCTGGAAAGAAGTGCTTCTGAGTTGCTCAACTCACATGCTGACAAAATGGGGCCCATTATTGGTGAAAGGCCTTAGTTCTTCTCCACAGCGATTACTCTGCATAGCTAATTGAGTGTCCTCATGAAATGCTGACAGTCTTCACCTATAACAAGTATTTCAAGAGAAAAAGCCAGAAACCATAGTGGTTTTTGTTTTTTTTGGGTTTTTTTTTTAAACAGGGTCTCTCTCTCTCTCTCTCTCTCTCTCTCTCTCTCTCTCTCTCTCTCTCGCACTCCACTTCAGGCTGGAGTGCAGAGGTGTGATCATAGCTCATTACAGCCTTGATCTCCTAGGCTCAAGTGATCCTCTCACCTCGGCCTCCACAGTAGCTGGGTAGTCTACAGGTGCATGCCAGCATGCCCAGCTAATTTTTTCAATCTTTGTTTTTTATTTGAGACAGAGTTTCGCTCTTGTTACCCAGGCTGGAGTGCAATGGCGCAATCTCGGCTCACCGCAACCTCCGCCCCCTGGGTTCAGGCAATTCTCCTGCCTCAGCCTCCTGAGTAGCTGGGATTACAGGCACGCACCACCGTGCCCAGCTAATTTTTTGTAATTTTTAGTAGAGACAGGGTTTCACCATGTTGACCAGGATGTTCTCGATCTGTTGACCTCGTGATCCACCCGCCTCGGCCTCCCAAAGTGCTGGGATTACAGGATTGAGCCACCGCGCCCGGCCCTCAATCTTTGTTTTTAGTAGAGAAGAGGTCTTGCTGTGTTGCCCATGCTCGAACTCCTGAGTTTCTGCCTCGGCCTCCCAAAGTACTAGGATTACGGGGGTGAACCACAGCAGCTGGCCTCGTATCTTAAAATTCATCCACGAGATGAATGCCTGATTTATCTGCTCTCCTTTTTCCCTCTCTTCCTTTCCTCACTGTGGAGGTCTGGGGTCACTTCAGTCCTCTTCTTTCTCCAGCTCAACGCTCGTTATGCTTACACTCCAGGCAGCTCCATCACCTTAGGTAGTGGGGGAAAGCAGAGGTAGCTACCTTTTTTTTTTTTTTTTTTTTTTTTGGAGACGGAGTCTGTTGCCAGGTTGAAGTGCAGTGGTGCAATCTCGGCTCACCGCAACCTCCGCCTCCTGGGTTCAAGCAATTCTCCTGCCTCAGCCTCCCGAGTAGCTGGGACCACAGGCGCATGCCACCACACCTGGCTAATTTTTGTATTTTTAGTAGAGACCGGGTTTCACCATGTTGGCCAGGGTGGTCTCCATCTCTTGACCTCGTGATCCACCCGCCTTGGCCTCCCAAAGTGCTGGGATTACACGCGCGAGCCACGGCGCCCGGCGACCCTGTACTAATTATAGCGGAAGAGGAAAACTCTGACTCACATAGCTTATCTAAAACTCACAATTGAATGAATTACTCTGATGATTATGTTAAAGCTCCTCTACTTTTCATTTTTGTTGCCTCTGAGCTTAGAGCATACCTGGAATGGTTTTTTTGCAGCTGACGGCAAGGGGGGATGAAATCTTGCTCTGTGGCCCAGGCTGGACTGCAGTGGTGCAATCTCGGCTCACTGCAACCTCCACTTCTCAGGCTCAAGTGATTCTTCTGCCTCAGCCTCCTGAGCAGCTGGGACTACAAGCACACACCACCATGCCCAGCTAATTTTTGTACTTTTTTAGTAGAGATGGGGTTTCTCCGTGTTGGCCAGGTTGGTCACAAACTCCTGACCTCAAGTGATCCATCCGCCTTGGCCTCCCAAAGTACTGGGATTACAGGCTTGAGCCACCAAGCCCAGCTTATGACTCTTCATTTTAAAGTGAATTTATATTATACTCATTTAATTTTTCAGAATTCAATTAGATTACATGGTAAAATTTTTGAAAAATAAGTTTTAAAATGTGGCAGATGATTTTGCCTGTCATTCAACTCAATGAGTTTTGTCCCAGAATGAGCATGAGCCTCTTGTAGTAAAAGCATTCACCACATTTAATATGACAATAATGATTAGAGATATAGCATTGTTTCTATGGCACAGCTTCTAAATATAAGCTAAGCAAGTTTCCATCAGGTGTTTAATTAAAGAAATGTCTGTTCCAATGTTGAGGAAAAATCAGTTGTGCTGGATGCTTATGGCTGTCTGCCACATGGCCTTATTCCCAAGAACTCTTCAAGGATATTTATTTATTTATTTATTTACTTATTTTTGAGACATAGTCTCACTCTATTGCCCACACTGGAGTACAGTGGCACAATCTTGGCTCACTGCAACCTCCACCTCCCAGGTTCAAGCGATTCTCCTGCTTCAGCCTCCAAGGTAGCTGGGATTATAGGCATGTGCCACCACACCCAGCTAATTTTTGTATTTTTAGTAGAGATGGGGTTTTGCCATGTTGGCCGGACTGGTCTCAAACTCCTGACCTCAACTGATCTGCCTACCTCGACCCCCCAAAGTGCTGGGATGACAGGCATAAGCCATCGTGCCCAGCCTATTCATTTTAAAAATTATTTTATTTTATTTATTTCTGGGACAGAGTCTCACTCTATCACCCAGGCTGGAGTGCAGTGGTGCAATCTTGGCTCACTGCAACCTCCACCTCCTGGGTTCAAGTGATTCTTCTGACTCAGCCTCCCGAGTAGCTGGGATTGCAGGAACACACTACCATGCCTGGCTAAGTTTTTGTATTTTTAGTAGAGACAGGGTTTCACCATGCTGGCCAGGCTGGTCTGAAACTCCTGACCTTGTAATCTGCTTGCCTCAGCCTCCCAAAGTGCTGGGATTACAGGCATGAGCCACCGCAGCCGGCTCATTTATTTTTAAAAATAATGTAACTATGAAGTTTTCGTAAAGATGATTGTGTTAGTTGGAAGATAGTAAAGTGCCAAGTAAATAACATGAATACCTTGAACGGAAGTAGAAAAGGTATAGGTTGCTACATTCAGACAGCTATATGGAGCAAAAGGCACAGCAGCCACCTCCCTGTTGGAGCGGAAACTCACCTGGCTGTCCTCTCCCACGGAGGGGTCTTGCTGCCGGCAGCACCACCGGTTGATGGATAGAATCTTCAGGGCCTTTAAGAGCTCTTGTTGCCATTCTCTCAGAGGCTTCACTTCTTGATCACTTTCAACTGTCCTGCATCCTTTGGTTACATTTCTAATGGTCACCAGATGCAAACTAACTCATGACCCGCAGCACATTCCTGAATGCCTACTGTCAGAAGAGGAGAATTGGAGATCAATTGCCCAGGGTTGTTTTTCCAGGTGTACTAACCCTCCAGCAGACCCAGCTGGGCCTCCTGAAACCATTCCCAATGTAATACACACATCATGTACAACATTTTAAATGGCTGAAAGACTGCAGTGAAAATAAATACCTTGTAAATGCAAATTATAAACAATTTTTGCTTGTAAAATACAAATTCGCTGAAATACTCTTGTGTCTGTGCTGTGAACTGGGTGGGTTTTTTGTTTTCTTTTTGGTTATTGGCTATTTCCCTTTAATTTCACATCTCTTTATTTCTTCCTCAAATTTCTGGTCAGATGATGGTGCAATATATTTTTTTTACGCACAATTACCCTTTATAAGGTTGCGCTTTATAAGATAAATGTTTTTTCTTTTCTTTTTTTTTTTTTTTTTGAGATGGAGTTTCCCTCTTGTTACCCAGGCTGGAGTGCAATGGTGCAATCTCAGCTCACTGCAACCTCCGCCTCCCGGGTTCAAACGATTCTCCTGCCTCAGCTTCCCTAGTAGCTGGGATTACAGGCACCTGCCATGAAGCCCAGCTAATTTTTTGTATTTTTAGTAGAGATGGGGTTTCACTATGTTAGCCAAGTTGGTCTCCAACTCCTGACTTCAGGCGATCTACCCACCTTGGCCTCCCAAACTGTTAGAATTACAGGCATGAGCCACTGTACCTGGCCTTTTTTTTTGACCCTATTTACTTGGCTGGAATGTAGTCACAAAATCATGGCTCACCTCCCTGGGCTCAGGTGATCCTCCCACTTCAGCCTCCCCAGTAGCTGAGACTGCAGGCACATGCCACCCTGCCTGGCTACTTCTTGTACATTTTTGTAGAGAGGGGGGTTTGCCATGTTGCCCAGGCTGTTCTTGAACTCGTGGGCTCAAGCAACCTACCTGTCTTAGCCTCCCAAAGTGCTGGGATTACTGATGTGAGCCACCACACCCAGCCAAAGGAAAATTTAAACTTTTTTTTTTTTTTTTGGTAGGTTAAAGGGATTTGGGAGAGAAGCCTAGATAGATAGATGCGTTTGGTCTGACAGCTTGATCTAAAGCTCGTGCTTGTCTTTGGTTTTGCTGTTTCTGTGTCCGGACTGCTACTTTTTGGCTGTGGCACAAGGACTTTGGCTTGGGTTTCCATTCTCCTTGCTTTTACTGTTTCTGATGGAATTCCTGCACTGGCTGTCATGGCTGAACCTAATTTCTGTTCTTGCTATTGTGTTTAGTGTTGTGATGACCTGTCCAATCCCCCAGGATGGGTGAGAGGATCTGGGCAAGGCCTCTGCAGTGCCTGGTGGCGGTGGTAGCTGCCTCTAGAGCCCCTACTCATCCCCTTCTCTGTTGCTCTCGCTGCAGTCACACAGTCTCCTCTCAGTGCCTTGAGCTAAAACGAAAGCCCAGTTTTGCTTCACAGGCTTTTTCATGCTTTCCTCCGTGTCTAGAGCAGGCTCTTTTATACACTCTAACACTCAGACATTGCTTAGTCATTTTCAGGCCTCAGTTCTAATACCACATCCTCAAGAAGATCTTCCCTGACTCCCTGTGCAATCTAGCACCCGGAGCGTGTAGCAGTTTTCTCAGGGAACTCATTACAGTTTGTAGTTGTGTTTATTTGTATTGTAATTTAATTAATGCATTTTTTGAGACCGCTAGGCTCACAATTGTGTCCAAAGGATCATGTCTGTTTTGCTCACTATCATCTCAGCTAAGAGCAGTGCCTATATGAATTGCCAAAGAGGAAGTAAAGTGCCAGTGAGTCTTCAGTAACATGGTTTCAATGAAGACATTGAAATGATAAATAAGACTGATGTTTAATTCTTCTTGGATTTCTGACATTAATAGTATTATAGGACAGATGTTTATATTTATAGCATAGAACAATACACATAGAGCTATATATGTATCATAAAATAATTTATATTTACAGCACAGAAATTAGATGGTGACAATTTTAATACACACCAACTTATAGATTTCTTAAAGTATACATTTTGTCCTAGTAATATATATACATATTTTAAAGACAGGGTCTCCCTTTGTTACCCAGGCTAGAGTGCAATGGTTGATTGCAGCCTCAACTTCCCAGACATAAGCAATCCTCCCACCTCAGACTCCCAAGTAGCTGGGACCACAGGTGTGCACCACCACACCTGGCTAATAAAAAAAAAATTTTTTTTTTTTTTTGAGACGGAGTTTCGCTCTTGTTACCCGGGTTGGAGTGCAATGGCGCGATCTCACCTCACTGCAATCTCTGCCTCCTGGGTTCAAGCAATTCTCTGCCTCAGCCTCCTGAGTAGCTGGGATTATAGGCACACGCCACCATGCCCAGCTAATTTTTTTTTGTATTTTTAGTTGAGACGGGGTTTCACCATGTTGACCAGGATGGTCTCGATCTCTTGACCTTGTGATCCACCCGCCTCGGCCTCCCAAAGTGATGGGATTACAGGCTTGAGCCACTGCGCCCAGCCAAAAAAAATTTTTTTTTTTTTTAAAGACGGGGTCTCACTATTTTGCCTAGGCTGTTCTTGAACTCCTGAGCTCAAATGATCATCCTGTTTCAGCCTTTCAAAGTGCTGGGATTACAGACAAGCCACCATGTCTGGCCTATTAATATTTTATTTATTTATTTATTTTTTAAGACAGTGTTTCACCATGTTGGCCAGGCTGGTCTTGAACTCCTGACCTCAGGTGATCCACTCCCCTTGGCCTCCCAAAGTGCTGAGATTACAGGCCTGAGCCACCACGCCTGGCCTAATATTTTATTTAACAACCTCAACTCATGTATAGTCAGTGAATCCGTTTGTAAAAACATTATGAGATACTTTGTTTCCATTTTGTAGGCTTTATTAACAACACATAACCTCAGTGTGAGTCACAGTTCTTTAGGCAACAAAGATATGGCTACAATAAGTTAATTATTATTGCTGTAATTAATTCTACGAATTTAAATTCATCTGAATTTGCTTTATGAAAATGTAGACTAGAATATTTTCTCCTGTGTTGTAGACACAACATAGTGAACATGGTCCACCTATATATTAGGTTGGTGCAAAGTAATTTGCCATTAAAATTTTTGAGATAGGGCCAGGTGTGGTGCCTCATGCCTGTAATCACAGCACTTTGGGAGGCTGAGGTAGGTGGATCACTTGAGGTCAGAAGTTCGAGACCAGCCCGGTCAACATGGTGAAACCCTGTCTCTACTACAAATACAAAAAAGCCAGCTGTGGTGGTGCGCGCCTGTGATCCCAGCTACTCAGGAGACGGAGGCAGAGAATCGCTTGAACCCAGAAGGCAGAGGTTGCAGTGAGCTGAGATAGTGCCACTGCACTCCAGACTGGGCAACAGAGCAAGACTCTGTCTAAAAAAAAAAAAAAAAAAATGTAAGAGAGACAGTGTCCTGCTATGTTGCCCGGGGTAGTCTCAAACTTCTGGCCGCAAGCAATTCTCCCACCTTGGCTTCCCAAAATGCTGATATTATAGGAGTGAGCCACTGTACTTAGTCTATCTTATTAAATAATTTTATAATACTAAAAATCCTAAATTATGTTGGTTAGGGTTCTTAGTGAAAAACAGGTAAGTCTATTCTCACTAATTTAAGCAGCAAATGCTAGTAAGTAAATCATAGTATTAAGGTGATTGTAAGGCTCATCTCTTTAGCACAGTTCTGGTTTACCCTTGAAATTATTAATAGCAGGCTGGGCGAGGTGGCTCAGGCCTGTAATCCCAGCACTTTGGGAGGCTGAGGCAGGTGGCTCATTTGAGGTCAGGAGTTCCAGACCAGCCTGACCAACATGGTGAAATCCTGTCTCTACTAAAAATACAAAAATTAGCCAGGCATGGTGATGCATGCCTGTCAGCTACAGGGGAGGCTGAAGCAGGAGAATCGCTTGAACTCGGGAGGCAGAGGTTGCAGTGAGCTGAGATCGTGCCACTGCACTCCAGCCTGAACCACAGAGCGAGACTCTGTCTTAAAAAAAAAAAAATTAGCTGGGCGTGGTGACAGGTACCTGTAATCCCAGCTACTTGGGAGGCTGAGGCAGGAGAATTACTGAAACCGGGAGGCAGAGGTTGCAGTGAGCTGAGATTGTGCCACTGCACTCCAGCCTGCATGAGACAAAGCAAGACTCTGTCTCAAAAACGAAAACAGAAAACCATCACAGCAACATCCAGACTAGCATTTGACAAATATTTGGGAACTGTAACCTAGCAATGGCATATAACATTACCATCCCACTGCCTTTTTTGTTCTTACCCAATTAAAAGCATCCAGCTCCATCTTCCACATGCCTTTCTACTCTTAGGATTATTTTGTCCCTGAAATGCTTGTCTTTGATAAGTTCCTCATTCCACATGGCCAAGTGATCATTTAGGTAACCGTCTCTCCCTGCTGCGGTGGTCTGGATCCTCGCTGCTTTTTAACCTGACCACATCACATAAGCATTTCCTGAAAGGTCTGTTGCCCATCACCGCATCTGCTATTAATTACTACATTGGTCAAGGCTCTTGTTTTCAAATAACAGAGTTCACTCTGGCTAATTTTAGCTGAAATAGATTTAATAAAAGATGTTAGGTAGTTGACGGGATAATTGAGAAGGCTGGGTAAACGGCCAAGTCTCCATAAATACGGTCTAGAGCCATCCTGAAGCACTGCCCTGATGAGAGAGTTGCCACTGTTGCTGCCAGTTCCAGACCACGCAGCGGAACCAGCCTGATGAGAAAACTCCCGGGTGCCAGCCCCAAGGGTGGAGGTCTGAAAGTGCATTGCTTATGACGTCTATACAGAAGGATGGAATAGCAACAGTGCGTCTCTGCTTATTAGTTTGAAGGAATAGCCGTCCTCAAGTGTTGAATATATAACTTCTTTTTTTTTTTTTTTTTTTTTTAAGACGGGGTTTCACTATGTTGGCCAGCCTGGT